CTCCGGCCATCGGGACCTGGAGTCGCTGTCTCCCAACCATTTACTGATCTCGAAGGCGTTGTACAGGCACATCCTGCTGGTGTACTCGGAGCTGATAACCATTCCGTCAAGTGGAGATGGAGGCGAGCAGAGTGCTTGGCCGACGTGTTTTGGCGCAGGTGGCGCAGCAACTATCTTCCCTTCTGCAGCGTCGGCAGAGGTGGCTCCATCCCAGCAGCCCTTCGTTGTGGCGATCCTGTGCCGGTCGCCGATGAGGGCCTTCCGAGGTGTCAGAGGCCGCTTAGCAGGGCGGTCGTGACAGGGGTGAGTAGTGACGGTCTCGTCTGGAGCTCTAGGATGAGGACCAGGGGGACCCATGACCATGTTTGTCATGCACGCCATTAGATGTTTGTCAGTTGTGTCGCCCGGTTACGAAATTGATGCTCATGTGCTAGGTACGCTATACAATTATAAATGTGCCAGGCACGCTGTGCATGTATTGATTTGCTTCATGTGCTTATTTGCCAGCTACTTGCTAGATGTACAGACGCTACTGCTAGCTGAAGCCATGGAATTGTGTTTTGGACCGATACTGTGACGCATTGTGGCTTTTGAAAGCCAGGGGCTTCAACGGGGCGGGCGTAAGCGCGTCACTGGCTCGGCGCGCCCGGCCCCGGCCGGGGTCCGCGGACCTGGCCGAGTGGCCTACCGATTGACAACGAACACCCCTCGGGGAGGACTGCGGCTGCCCGGAGGTGGTCGTTTTCCGCTCGCGCTCGCCAGAATTCTGTACACGTACGCCGTTAGATGTTTGTCAACATCGTTTCCGTTCGAAATTATAAATTATGCGTACATTTGCGACTGCCAGGTACGATAATGTCGATTTGTCAGAGTTTGTTGATCATTTAACCCAAAAGCGTTTCTTCGTCTGATGTCGATACTTGTTTGCTTGCCGAGCTTGTGGCATTTGTTCGCGATACGAAATTACTTTGGACAAAGTCACAACCGTTTTCTTTATTCGGTGTTTGATGGCGATGGCGACAACTCAGAACACATCCGTAGCCAGTCTGCAGTATAGTGATACCGTCGGTAAACATGGACGGATGGAAATGTTATGGCCCATTTGTCGAGTTGTAGAATCAGTCTGGTGTGTTCATAGCCAAATAGTGGTTCCGTGATGACGGAACCGATGGCATTCATAGTGATAGCATTCGTTTTGATTACAACCTGTTTTTCATTGCATCTATACCCTGATGAAATGTTTTCCAGAAACCGTGTCATGCCTCTTGGCACAACACAAGGTACCAGAGCCGCATACGTGTGGCGACAACGACTTTGGAGGCTGCAGGCGGCTGCACTCTCGCTTACTGCAACAAAGCAACACCATCAATGCACCGCCGGTACCCGCCTTAGCGAGCGTTACCATTTCTGGACAAGAAGTCCGAAAAATTATAAGCTCTCTGGATGCGAACATATCCACGGGTCCCGACGAAATACATGTCAAATTACTCAAGCTGAACACGCTTCTCATGTCCAGACCATTAGCACAGTTGTTTAATAAATCATTAGCGTTAGGAATATATTTCGGTAAGTTCAAAGGAGCGGACAGTATGCCGGTATTTAGATACAAAGACTCGCCATCGGACTATTCCTGCTATCGACCAATAAGCGTCCTTTCGGCGCTCTCGACAGTTTTTGGAAAAACATTATATAGAATGTAGGCGATAAATTCACGAGAGCTCCGACTCCGAACTCAGGCAAATAAAGTAGGTACCGCAGAGCCACAGCACTCAACAGCAGCTATTATACTTCACGCACAACCTATACAAATCGTTCGGCACAGAACGCGACTTGACGGCAATATATCTCGGCATTTCTGAATACTTTGACAAAATTTGGCATGACGGTCTGCTGCACAAATGTCAACATGGCTGTGGAATCACAGGACGGCTTTAAAACTGGCTTAAGTCGTACTTACAAGACAGACGACGGAGGGTTCGAATACATGACACTTTTTCGATGACTCAAACCGTAAACGCCGGCTGCCCGCAGGGCTCCGTACTCGGAACTGTACTAACACTCATCTATCTTGAAGCATTCTCAAATCAAACACAGAATGATATTCTTTTCCTTGCTGACGACACCTCTCTGTACACCTTACACACAACGACCGACTTACGCGTGACCGAACGTCTGCTCCAACACGACTTTGACGAAATACACGAATATGGTCGGGAATGGACTATCACATTTAATACCACAAAACATCCTGGAGACATTCCCATATAAACGCAAGCACCGGCCACCAGCGCTTACATTTAGAGGCGACCCATTACCAGTCCACGACACACACACATACCTTGGTGTGAAATTTTCCAAGGATCTCCGCTACCAATACTTTAAGAAAACATGCCACAAAATGGTCAAAACACTCAGCCCTCTGTATCTGATAGCACATTGCATACCAAGGCCCATTCGCAATCAAATGTACAAAGTGTACACGAGACCTCTTGTTGACAACTGCGACGCCATCTACGACGGACACATCACAACACAGGACGCGATCAGACCTGAAACACTACAAAAGAGAGCCGCGGCACTGGTGACCGGGTCACTCTTCAGAACGCCATGCGACACACTGCGAGCTGAATCAGGATGGAACAGACCGACAACGGGGCGACATATACACCGACTGACACTCCATCACAAACTTAACGACGCCAAGCAATGTACACCGAACTACATGACAGTAGTCATGCCGTATACCTGCGTTCAACAGAAATCTCAGAAACGCAAGCACGCACACAACAACCAAAAGTTGTACATCATGGGGCCGCAAATAATTTTCGCAAAAGTTAGCAGGCGCTAGAATGTACTGCACGACAGCATACGACACCTCACCCAACCCGCCTTTAAAAAAACACTGCGAGTGGTTGGGACTGCCCGACCCAACCTATTACTGCACAGTACAATCAAAGGAAGGGAAAGAATGGTCATGTCTTGCCTGAATTCCATTTCTTTCTTGTTAAAAATAACCTCGTTGGCGTATCAGTGTATTTTCCTAATGTACCAAATTGAATGCACTCGTCATTTCGTCCTGTCGTGCCAAAAGTACATAGAGCAACGAAACGATGTTTGAAAACATATCTAGAATGCGGCGCATCGATGTTAGACACAAGTTACCCTCATATCAGCTACAAAGTCATTACATGGCGCAGGCCTAATCGACGGCGACTATTTCGTGATGGCTTGCCATTTCCAAAACTTTCTGCTCAAATCCAGACGATCTATCGACCCTTAGTGTTGTTAGTAATCTCCCTCACCTTACCTTATGGACGTGGCATTCCCGGTGAGGCGTGTGGTGGCTGACCATCCAGCCGAATTAAATAGCTGAGCGAGCTGCACGGTGGCGGCGGTCGCAGATAAGCATTTCTTTCGCGTGTTTCAGACAAGGTGTATCGATTTAAGCTCCTGCTCTTGCGCCTTCCTGATTTATGTTCGCTTTCCTTCGCATGTGTTGCTTAACCAATATGATTATGGTGACGATGGTGATGATGGTGAATACGTGGAAGGCCGCCGATCGATCAAGAGTGCCCAGGCATGTCAGCAGATTGTGCTCCCACAGCAGCGTGGGGCCCTACGAGAAATGCGAAGGGATCAATGCGGTGGCGATGCGGTGGCACCTGCGCGCGGAGACAGGGTACCTGTCTCACAAGCTTTGCCGAGTTTTACATTATATTTTCTACCTGTCACGGAAACAAAGTTTTCAAATGCACGATTGCCCTCCCCAACATCCGACCCGTGTAGAAGCCTCTAAAAAGGTATTAAACTATCTCAAACACTGCGAATTTGGAAGGTGTCGTGAACCACTCCGACATTCACCGTGCTGCACGGTATCAAGTGTGGCATATCACAGCCATTTCAAACAATCAATCCATCTGCTAGAGCATTGTTCGCGGGATCAACTCCTCCCTCCAGCGCCAGCCCGCCGACGAGTGCGCCGATCGTACGCCGGCTCTCGCGTCCTGGCGCATGCGTCACCCGCCCGCGGTGCTGCCACCTGTGATCGGAGCGGTGAACTAGCCCGTCGTCAGTTGGTTTATTTTGGTCGGCGCTGGCGGTGGCCGACGGAAAGTTGGCCGTGCGGGCCGACAAAATAGTTGTGCCATCGCAGTGTTTGTTTAAAGAGTGCTTGCCCCGGCGGCGGCGGTGCCGGCGGCGCCGCGGACAGACGGGCTCCGCTGGCGTCAGACGCCAGGCCGCTGGCGCGTGCTGTGCTTCCCACCGTGGTCCGCCCCGCCGGCGCGATCTTCAGAAGACGCCAGCGTGAGGCTGCCCCCTTGACGGCAGTTGTGTGCTGGCGCGGCTCATAGTGCGGACGACTCCGTCGGCGCCGGCACAGGTGTGCGTCGGTCCGCGGTCCGGGCGTCCCGCGGCGGGGGCCCGCGGCGTTCACTAAGGTGCCGCTCGTGCCCGCCTGCTGCCGAGTAACCGTGCTGCGCGCCGGCGACCTTGCCACAGCTGAGGGAGTCAGCTGTGGCGTCACCCCGCGGGGCGCACAGCGGCTGCCCGGCCACATGCCGCAAGGAGGCTTGTGACCCTCGCGCGCTGCGACCGTCGCCAGGTCACCGCCGGCCGGCGCGGAGGGCGCAGATCGGAGCAGCGCGGGCGGCGCCGCGGCCCGCCGGCGCGCTCCGGGTCGCTCCCCGCTGGCACGCGACGCCCATGCCGCCGCCGACGCCGCGGACGCCGAGTGAGCTCCGCAGTGAGGCAGCGACCGCGGCCCCGCCGCCCAGACAGAGCCGGCGGCCGCGCGGGCGCCGCTCATCGATTCCCCTCAGGGCACAAGAGCGCGGCTTCGGGGACGGGCCCGGCCGCCGCCAACGCCGCTGAGCCGCCCGGCCGGCCTCACCTGTCGCCAGCCGCGTCCCGGCCCAGCCAACCGGCGCACCGGGCGGCGCGATGACGCCCGGCGCGCTGTCGGCCGCCGGCCTGCTCCTGGTCCTGACCTGGGCGGCGGCCGAGGAGGCCATGGTGACCCTGACCGTGCGCGGCCAGGGGGTGACCAGCATTGACCACCTGCGTGCGCTCTACCTGCCCATGGCGCCCGTGCTGGAGGTGGAGGGAGTCGTGATAGCGGTACGTATGACCGATGGCCATTTGCGGAGCCGCTGCACTGCCATGGGAACAGAACGGCTGGGCGCTGGCCAGTCGATGACAGGCGACCATACCCTATACTGGCGTCACGGAAGGCTTGTAGTTTTCTGGGAATAGGTATCGATCAGTGACGCGGCATGTGAATCAGAGGCGTGGGGTTCAGTGGACGTAATCAAAATTCCTGGGAACGCGTTCTGTGCAAATCACGTGTCGAGGTCTTCCCGACTTTGTGGCTGCGATGGGCCACATGGTCTTCACATTTCACTGCAAGCATCGGTTGCTTTTAAAATTCGATGTCTTGTTTTATTGAGTTGACTCAAGATCTGCGGTCATAAAGTGGAAGGTGTAATGGGGAGCGTGGTGAAGATTATACCAGATGCGATTCAAAAAATGTCAGAGGTGCACATTTCGGCAGTAGAATAAAAGTGCAAAACAGTTCAGGATCGGGACGAGCTAAAAATGTAAAGCTTAACACGAGCCGCAATGATGGACACAGTATCGGCTTACCGTCTTCGTGGAATAGCTGCCCGAGCTGTTGCATTATGTACAATTTTTGCATCAAGCCGACCAATATCTGAAAGGTTTCAGGCTAAGAATACGTGTGTTGAGCTACGCATTTGTGGTGAAGCATATCCTGCATGTAATGTGATATGCAGCTGTCAAATCGCAAGAGAAGCCCAAGTGTTGCGCGAGGCGTCATGCGGGCATCCCATGCAATTTGAAAACCACGGACGATTGAGGCGTTCCATTTCGCACCATATGACATCTGACTCACGTGCATCTGGATCCGCACAGCCATATATCCATCACTCGCATTCTTTCGCAGTGATGTGTGGACTCACAGCCTCCAAATCGGTTCGTGAAGCGCTCAGCAAGCGGGAGTCAGCTCACCCCGGTATAACGAGTACGGGGTATCCTGACCAAGAGTCACGTTAATCCCACAAATGTTTATGAATGGAATAATGGTGCGAATGCGTGAATTACGTACCGTCACTTGATAAAGCTCTCTTTGGAAATTGAACCAGATGATAATCTCAAAGGGATCGTCTTCCGTAGGTGAATCTAAATGAAAGGCTAACAGCTGAGATGATAATCTGTCGGCATTTTTTAGTCTGTCACCAGGACACCAGCCACCATGGTGTGGTCAGCGGGCAGCAAAGCTTTCACTGCACATATCTTCACGTATGTAGTTCCAACTGTACGTCTGTCTTCAGGCAGGCTGCCACTGTAGGTCTGGTCTCAGGACGCCAAAGTCCAGTAATGATCTGGAGTTAAAACACTGGCTATGGGTATCAGTTTGCTATTGGGATGTGAGCTACAACTGTAGGTGGGTAGTCCGGGGAGCAGCCAGCGCCCTACCAACCCACCTATATGTCGAGCAGCCAGCACCCCGCCGACCTGCCTATATGTCGAGCAGCCAGCACCCTGCCGGTCTACCTATATGTCGGGCAGCCAGCACCCTGCCGACCTACCTAAATATCGGGCAGCCAGCACCCTGCCGACCTGCCTATATGTCGGGCAGCCAGCACCCTGCCGACCTACCTAAATATCGGGCAGCCAGCACCCTGCCGACCTACCTATATGTCGGGCAGCCAGCACCCTGCCGACCTACCTAAATATCGGGCAGCCAGCACCCTGCCGACCTACCGAAACGTCGGGCAGCCAGCACCCTGCCGACCTACCTACATGTCGAGTAGCCAATACTCCGCCGGCCAACCTATATGTCGAGCAGCCAACACCCCGCCGACCTACCTATATGTCAAACAGCCACCACCTTACCGACCTACCTATATGTTGAGCAGCCAGCACCCTGCCAACCTACCTATCTGTCGGGCAGCCAGCACCCTGCCAACCTACCTATCTGTCGGGCAGCCAGCACCCTGCCGACCTACCGATATGTCGAGCAGCCACCACCCTGCCGACTTACCTATATGCCGGCCGTCAGGGAACCAGCTGTCAATAAAGGCAGTGCTCTAAGGAAGCCGCCGTCACCTGTAAGCGCAAAACCGAAACTGTGTGTCAACAATGTATCCCATGAGTGCGATGCCAAATCCCCAAAAGATGACGAGGCGCGCCTCGCGTCTCTGCTTTCTCTACTTTACCCCTTTGGCTGAAACCATTTGTTGACGCAGCCACCATAGTAGGTATGTAGTACGTGCAGCATGCACCGAGTAGTATCAGCAATGGGGGATGATATATGCCAGCCTTCATTCCCGGGGGAGAGCAACATACGAACCAGAGGCTTCTGTACTACAGCGGTGGCGGCGCCTTGCGCGCAGCACCAACCAAGTAATGTTTCAGCTTGGTGCGGCCGGCATGCTCGCCGCCCGGAAACCGCAAGAGCTCCCCGAGAAATATATAATGTTTCTAGCTTTATGGACCACAATCCCCCGCCCTCCCACACCATGCGACCGTAGGTATCTTCCAGGTTGAAATTGCTTTAGTCTTCGCCTCGCAGCAGCATGTGCGGAAATGAACGGCGCAAGTTAGGTGGCGGACCACGGCTGGCGGCAGATACGACGCAGGTCACGTAGCCGTGACCCGTGCCGTCACACGCCGCCCACGGCGGTCCGCGGCTTCGGGAGGCTCCACCGCAGCACGACGCTATCCCGGCCACAATAGGCACGACGGCAGGCCGCGCGTGTACGGCCGGCGTGCCGCGGCATAGCGGGCGGCCAGCTAACAGCGGCGGAGGGGGAGGGGGCTCCTCGCCATCCTGGTGAACCTATGATGCGCTGTCGCCCCAAGTCTCCACCTAATCTGTTGACGGCTGGGGCGTGCGTGGGCAGCACGGCGCCGTGTTTACCGCCGGCCGAGAAGCGTTGGCGCGGTCCGTGCCCGTCTGCGAGGCGCAGCGACACGGCCCCTGGCCTGCAGCTCGTGCGGTCGATGGCCGGGGTCCCCAGACAGCGATCGCTCGCGGGAGCTCCGACCTGGCGCCTCTCCGCCCCCGCTCCGTTCGCGGCAGGAGCGCCAGGTGCGCCAGCGCCGCAGGCCGGGAGCCGAGCCCGACCAACGCACCGCAGGGCGCGCGGGTCGATCGCATGGAATGCTGCAATCAACTCGGGGCTCAATCGCTGGCGCGACGCTTAATTCCAGGCCTCGCGGCTGGGACATTGCAGACGGCTTGTTTGCTGTCAGCGTGCTGGGACAGCGCTGGGCCCCGTCACAACATGGCCGCTCAGACGATCACGTGCAATTGGAAATCCAATGGACAGTGCAGCCACGTCAGCCACTGACCTACCAATAGGTGAATATTTTCAACGAGCTCCTAGCCGGTGCGACTAGCTCTATCCTGCACGTATTGCAGGCGACGAGCCCCATCCATTGCCTCTGGGTTCAACGCCGGGGCGTTCTGGCGCCCTTGGCGACACCAGTCCCTCGGGAGAGAGCCCGGTGACTACTTCATCTGGTGCCCCGCTGACGCCGCTCACTCGGGAGAGAGCCCGGTGACTACTTCATCTGGTGCCCCGCTGACGCCGCTCCCTCGGGAGAGAGCCTGGTGACTGCTTCATCTGGTGCCCCGCTGACGCCGCTCACTCGGGAGAGAGCCCGGTGACTGCTTCATCTGGTGCCCCGCTGACGCCGCTCCCTCGGGAGAGAGCCTGGTGACTGCTTCATCTGGTGCCCCGCTGACGCCGCTCCCTCGGGAGAGAGCCTGGTGACTGCTTCATCTGGTGCCCCGCTGACGCCGCTCACTCGAGACAGCCCGGTGACCAATTCACCTGGCATCGCTGCTAACACCGGTCCCCCGGAACAGTCTGGCGACTACCTCGCACCTTCCAAAGATGCCTGCGCCCCGTCACCAACGAACAAACCCAGCAGCGTCGGCCAGCAGCCAGCAAGATGTCGCGCTGTGAGGGAGAGGCTGCAACAGTCGCCTCGCTAGCCCAGCGCGAGCACACCGCCCGTAGCCCACCCTCTCCAAACACAGCCGCTGGCGTGCGCCGGTCAGAGCGGCGGCTGCTGGGGGCCCCCGGCTGCCCCCCCCCCCCCCCCCTCCTGACGGACGCGGCCTGATTCGGCTGGCGGGCGCGCTGCAAGGCGCTGCTAACTGACGCCGGGGAGCGGGCATGTGCGTTCGCGATCTGTCGGACAGCGTTCGCCAGGAGCGGCGGCCAGTAGACAGGACATCGCGCCGCTCCACTGAACGCTGACTGGCTGGAGGCTGTGAGGGGGGCTGATTTTTGGATGGACTCGGATATCCGCCCTCGCTCTGAACGCTGGCTGGCTGGAGGCTGTGAGGGGGCTGATTTTTGGATGGACTCGGACGTCCGCCCTCCCTCTGAACGTTGGCTGGCTGGAGGCTGTGAGGGGGGCCGATTTTTGGATGGACTCAGACACCTGACCTCCCTCTGCCCAACGCGTCGGCACGATCCGTCATTGCTCTGCTGGTGGAGACAAAATTGCAAGACATCCGAGACCCCTGACGCTGCTGATCGGAATATCCTACAGCCATGGGACAGGGCTTTCTGCGCGAATGCAATTCATGCCGTATTTTTAGCGATTAAGCAAGGTTAATACTAAAAAATCACCATATTGCAGGGGAATCTTGGTGTGTGACGTGATTGTGGGCCCGCATTCTTAAGCTTCGAGCGATGTTACACACAACCAGCCTCTCACTGATCCTTGGCCTCTTTACTGCTCCCTGAGGCGTACCTCGATATTTTCACTTTCTTCAGTGCTAGTGGTCTTAGATGATGGGGACATGTATATTATGGATGAAATGCATATTAATTAGATAAGCAGGGCCTCATACGACTGGAGAGCATCTTCACTAAATAGAGGAATTATGCTGTCTAGAGCGGTCTTTTCCACTCAAAAGTATACGAAAAGTTATAAGTTAGCTTATTTAATCACATTTCATGCTTGCTTCAATGTCTTCAAATGTGGTACATTTCCTCAAAATGCCTAGACCAGTAACGGAGGACCCAGGCTTTCCAGCAGTATGGAACCCCGCCCTTTAGAGCTTCCGTATCATAAGGCATCCTTCATCAAGCAATTGAACGATCAATTGCACAAAAGAAGCGTCAAACGAACACGTGATGTAAGCACGCACACTGTAATAACGGGCATATGCCGCTGACGTCATGTGCTGAAAGCAATTCAGAGAAGATGTCAGGCAGCCATTATGGCCTGTAACCAGTGGCGCTTGTAGCAATAAGCACCCCAAGAGGCATCGAGTGTTTTTTTATGTATTCAACGACTGCTTAACACGAGTATTTTAGTTTCACCGGTATCTCGTAGTATACTGAACGCTAGTTCTTTATAGCGTAAGAACTCATTAGGCGCTTGCCACCTTTATCACCAATATCTAGCATGCTTTCATGAGCCCTGCTGGTCTTGAAGGTCTCTGACTGCGGGCGAGACTGTAACCGAGTAAGTATTGCTGAAACCACGACATAATTTTGAAGGAAAGCAGGCTGACCTGACCCGGTCGTTCCGCTGAAGGCAGCACCTTTGCAACTACTGATCTCAGCTCCAGCAGCTGCCGGTGACAAACACAGTTTTGAAAACGTCGATCTGTGTAATCTTTAAGGCATATCCAAACGGCCCGTTTGATGAAACATGACATTCCTGTCATATTCCAATGTGAGCTGAACTGAGCCTGTAGACCCTATTCGGTTAACAGCAAGATGCCTCTTGCGAAATGGGACCAGGGAGCTGGGAACAGTTGCAGGCGCTACCATTGTTCAAATTACACTGCAATATGAGAGAATCGAACTAATCTTTTTTGCGACCCATGCCAATAGGTCTTGACGATACGTTGGACCATTCTGCGTAATCTAGTTTGCACGCGGAGGTTCGCTGATGTAGGCCCATGTTTCCATTCACCGTTTCTTCACCTACAAAGCTCACTGACGGGCTTACATGTGGCATTGTTCTGAAATTGGCCAGCTGTGGTTCAGACAATGCGCATTCATTTTAGTTACGAAGTTATTGGATGCATATTCAAGTGCGTTTTTAGCGGCTGTAACTTGTGTGAACGACGTGTGTGAACGAACGAAGTGTGTGAACGAAGTATAATGGTAAATTAATTTTCATAGTTTGAGCGAATATTGAACTGAACCCCCCCTTCGGTGTAGTTTTTACGGTCAAAACTTCTCCGGCGTAAGCCACAGGTCGTGACGTTTGTGACTGGATCTCAGAAAGACGACATTGGCCGTCACTTGGTCGATTACCGGCATGGCGATGGCGTTAAACGTGGCTGACGTCACTTCATGATTCGTAGACCGCACATTTACCTAGGCTGCACACTTTACAGCTAGTTTCACGTCGTCAACTGCTCCGATTCTCATGGTCCGGCATCAATCTTTGAAAACCTTCGACCCGCAATGTCCGCTGCTACCGCCCGCTCTGTCGCCCGCCAAACGATACTGATTAAATGTCAGGATCAGTGACTCCGTTCCTCCAGGATCAGTGAGTTCATGCTGCCGGGATCAGTGACTCCGTGCTGCCGGCATAGAACTGAGCCTCCACTCGTGCTCTTCAGGCTTTTCGCGATTGAGAACTTTCAATATTCATGCTATATACGTTATATACGTTATTCACGTATATGGAAAACGTTTGTGATTTCATAATGTTTCTGCAAGCCCAAAGTGATTAAACAGCTTGCATGCAAACACCCTAGCAATATTGCAACTCGGCTTTCTTAGCATTATACCACTTGCCACTGATCAGCACAGAGAGCGGGGGGCGGGGGGGGGGGGGGGGGGGCGGGGGATGCGGCACGAGCAGCGGTTGCAGACACAAGTCCTTGAAAAACATGGGTGACCAGTGGACGTTAAGGCAGGGACGGACTGCGCCCTCCCTAGTAGTTGCAAGGATTTGTGGCAGATTCGGACGCCAGTACAGCTACAGGAGCGGCATCAAATGCACGGTGTAGGCAAATTTGCTGTCCTCAAATCACTGCGCTATTTCAGGATTCTCCAATTAAGCGCGGCATCAGTTATCGACTGGAAGGCAGGCAATGAAGCTGTTTTTAAAGCCGACCGCTAGTGCTATTCGCTGTAATCTAAGCCGTGGAACGAAACATGGAAACCAGTCAGGCGTTCACCTAGTCTGCTGTTACCAATATCTGCTCAAAATGTTCGCGTGTTGTAGAAACTATTTTGTCGTAGTCACCGAACACGTATACTACGGATGTGTTTGAATAAAATGCCGGACATGGCCGGGCCCCACGCCAACCATCTCTCGACATGTGTGGCTAATGCACTGCGAGCAAACGCCGCATGGGTGACATTCTTTGCACGCTTAACTCCATGAAAGACGAGTGGTCTAATACGGTGGTGACAGCCAGTTGCATGGCTAAAATAGCTTTGATTGCTATGGCGTTGCCTGTCCTGCGTCGCATGTCGCATCTTACTGGAATATATAAAGGGAATTTCTTAAGCGAACCAGGCTCCCGACGTTGGCAGTTGTTCAGATCATCAGGTGTCCCAGGAGCAGCAAAGGACACTTACACGATCAAGCCATCCGCCGGTACGCTTACTGGTTTTCGAGATACGTAACGTAGCGTTTTCGGGATACGTAACGATACGTAACGTACCGCTTGATACAGGCTTCTGGTGAACGGTATCTGTGCTGCATATCAGTGTAACCTGGAACTGATGTCATCCAGCTTTGCATGACTTAACCTCGGTGTCTCGGTGTGAGCACTGTGTCACATCTGCTAAGGTCAGCAGTGTTTATCTGCAAGATAAGCTATGGTGTAACCTCCAAGTCAAAAGTCCGTACCTGCGATATAATCCCTGTGCCTCTCAGGTCGCCAGTCGGTAGCTGTGACCTGACCTGTATCTCCTCCCTCAGGTCAGCAGTCAGTGCCAGTGACCTGACCTAAGTCTCCTTCCTTACGTCAGCAGTCTATACCTGTGATCTGACCGTTGTTTGTATTTCCTGCCTCAGGTGAGCAGTCTGTACCTGTAACCTGATGTATCTCGTGCCTCCAGTGAACAGTCTTTGTCTGCGACCTGACCTGTATCCCCTTGCTCGGGTCAGTATTCTGCACCTTTGACCTGACCTATATCTCCTGCCTCAGGTCAGCAGTCTGTACCTGTGATCTGATCTATGTCTCCTGCCTCAGGTCGGCAGTCTGCACCTGTGACCTTATCTGTGTCTCCTGCCTCAGGTCGGCAGTCTGCACCTGTGATCTGATCTATGTCTCCTGTCTCAGGTCGGCAGTCTGCACCTGTGACGTGACCTGTACCTCCCGTCTCAGGTCGGCAGTCTGCACCTTTGACCTGACCTGTATCTCCTGCCTCATATCGTCAGTCTGTACCTCTGACCTGACCTGTGTCTCCTGCCCCAGGTCAGTCTGTACCTGTGACCTGACCTGTGTCTCCTGCCTCAGGTCGGCAGTCTGCACCTGTGACGTGACCTGTGGCTCCCATCTCAGGTCGATAGTCTGCACCTTTGACCTGACCTGTGTCTTCTGCGTCATGTCAGCAGTCTGCACCTGTGACCTGATCTGTGTCTCCTGCCTCAGGTCGGCAGTCTGCACCCGTGACGTGACCTGTGCCTCCTGTCTCAGGTCGGCAGTCTGCACCTTTGACCTGACCTGTATCTCCTGCCTCATGTCTTTAGTCTGTACCTGTGACCTGACCTGTGCCCCCCGTCTCAGGTCAGCAGCCTGTACCTATGACCTAACCTGTGCCTCCCGTCTCAGGTCGGCAGTCTGCACCTTTGACCTGGCCTGTATCTCCTGCCTCAGGTCGGCAGTCTGCACCTGTGACCTGACCTGTATCTCCTGCCCCATGTCTTTAGTCTGTACCTGTGACCTGACCTGTGCCCCCGTCTCAGGTCAGCAGCCTGTACCTATGACCTAACCTGTGCCTCCCGTCTCAGGTCGGTAGTCTGCACCTTTGACCTGACCTGTATCTCCTGCCTCAGGTCGGCAGTCTGCACCTGTGACGTGACCTGCGCCTCCTGCCTCAGGTCAGCAGCCTGTACCTGTGCCGGACTCACGCGGATGGTGGTCAGATCCGGTCATTTCCATCGATTACGCTGGTGCACCTAGACGCTACGAAGCTCGAATCGCCCATGTGCTCATCAGCCCGGAGTCAGGTAATAGCCCATGTGCTCATCAGCCCGGAGTCAGGTAATAGCCCACGTGCTCACCAGCCCGGGGTCAGGCAATAGCTCATGTGCTCACCAGCCCGGGGGCAGGTGAGAGTGGTCCCACGAGCCGAACATTTTGGTCCTGATGAACGGAGCAGGGCAGAACAACAGTGTGTGTGGAGCCAGCTGATAACGGCTCTGAATTATGAACAGGAAGAACGGCAGCGGATGATGGCAATGGATGGCGAAAGGTACATCCGGCATACAGGGCTCATGTCGATCGAGCAAGTACGCACAAACACAGAAATTCTAAAGCAGCTCACGACTAAACGCCTCGTCGGGACCCTGCCTGCCGGAGGAAGCGAACAGCCATCACCTGTCACAGCGCGCGGGGGGGGGGGGGCTCTTCATGTGAGGAACTTCAGCCGACCATGGACAGATGTTTCATTCGTGTTTTCAAAACTGGCATAGGGTCGCAGAGTCCGGAATTTTGCAGTTACAGAACCAGCCCAGCTGGACCTGATCTCCAGGGGATTCGCCTCGGTTTATTTATACCGGGCGGGCCGCCGACACAGGTCATCCTCAGGGTACCGACACGTTGCTCTACTTGCACCAGCTCACCGGCAGAGGCTGTTGGAAATGCAGCTGGCGTGAAGTTGTTTTGCTCGTGTGAATGCCGATAACGATGGACGGTATGGTAGTCATTACCCTAGTGATCGTAGCGAGTGAGACACGTAGCTTCGCGTAAAAAGTGCTTCATGAATCGTTCAATCGAAAGAAGCTTTTCTCCCAGTCTTTCTTGTATCGTGAAACCCCTTCCCAGCTGCCATAGTGGTGCCCCAGTGCCTTCCATTTACTACTTCCGCCTTCTGTGTCGTATGTCTGTTGGACACACCCACTCTTGTTTTTTAGGCGCATAGTGCCTTCCAGCAAGGAGCAGCCGCCGTCATCTTCGACATAAGCAGTGCACCGGAAATGGCCAGCGAGGTGAGATGTCATAGACACTTGGCTACGCAGGTCAATGACCTGAATTAGACAGACCGCTGACACTACCAGACGGGTCACTGACCGCGGCTCGTTAGGTCAGACTGTGGTCTACATGACACTAACCCCGGTGCGGAGGGTCACTGACTTTAGGCAGACGGATCATTGACCCCAGTCCGGCAGGGTACTGTCCCAAGGACGGTTCCTTCGTGACTTTGTCAGCACATCGCCCTAATTAAAGCGGGGGTCACGGCAGCATTACTTTCGTTTGGTTGTTCTGCGGGCCTGGCAGCCGGTGGTGATAGCATGCCGTCACGTTCAACATCGCCGAGAGCGCATTACATGCACGCCACCGGGCTAGGACCGGGCGCCGGCTACTCGTCGTGTTTGATGTTGCTACCAAAGCCACGGCACTGGAACTGTTCAATCGCCGTTGCGAAACTGACCGCGACGGCCGGTGGATCAGTTCCCGGAACTGGCGGCCGTCGGCCAGGGCGGGGCGTCTGATGTGGGGGCTTCGCCTGCCGCCGCGGCCGCCGGAGCAGCGCCTTCAGCCTGCGGCGGCCGCGCGCCTCCACAGGTGCCCGGCAGCACCAGCGCCCTGCAGGGAACCTCGATCCTTCCCGGGCACCGTTGTAGCCGCGTCAATCGATGTGAACAGCCGCCGCCGCCGGCGGTTTCCGATAAGTCGCGGCCGGGGTCATCAGCCAGCCGCTGACCGCCGCTGCCCGCTGCAGCTGTTCACCGGGCAGCGGCAGCCGCAGCTGCCCCGGCCCGTGCTCGTCATGGCCGACCCGGACGTGCAGAGGCTGGCCGATGCCATGCGGCCCGAGGTCAACATCAGCGCCCGGGTCACGCGCAACCGGCGCCACGGTCAGCCCAGCGCGCCGGCGCCCGCCTTCACATACTTCGACATCGCGCTCTTTGTCGTGTTCTTCCTGCTCATCTGCCTGCTGAGCGGCGTGGTGCTGTACAAGATCCGCAACCGGCGACAGCGGGTGAGTTGGCCGCCCCGGGGGCGGACCAGGGGTCGGGTCCTAGCAGGGGTGGAGTCTAGCGCCGCGTGTGGCAGCGACAGATGCAGGGTGTCGGTAGGGGGCACCCCAAAGGCGAAGCTAGGGGTCGGGTTTGGCAGGGGCGGAGTACAGGGCCGCGTGTAGCAGCGATAGATGCAGGTTGTCGATAGTGGCCAGCCCCAGGAGCGGACCAAGGGTCGGGTCTGGCAGAGGCAGAGTCGAGGGCCGCGTGTGGCAGCGACAGATACGGAGTGTCGGCAGTGGCAGGAGGAGAGCCGTCCGACATACACGGGGAATACGGCGTTGTAGTGAAGATGGTCTGAAATATCTGTGTGGTAGTTTTAGTACAACGTTACAGCTAAACGCTATATGTTAAGGGTATGCAATTGCAGCACCAGGGATAGTAAGTACCCGCAAAATGCTAGCGATTTCCTGCTGAGACAATCAGGTAGCAGCGTTAGCCAGCGATGAACATATCGTGACGTTACATGACACACCAAAGGCTCTCGGCAAAATTGCCCACTAATCTGAATTTGCTCCACTGGAACGATGGATCGGTGCCAACAGATAGCTAAATGACAGCCGGACGATGACCGATGGTGTCGGCGAGCACATGTGCTTGGCAAGGACAATCGACTCGAAAAATATCGCTGTAGAACATTTGATAAGATTTCATGAAAATTTTACACCATGCTGACTGTATCCCACAAACCGTGTTCCTGGAAATTTTGCAGGTAAATAACCATTTAGCTTGTTAAGTAAGGTCCGTGTACGTCATCGACAACACCTCATTGGAGTCAGCTGTCCTGAAGGTGATAACCGTCAAACGGCTGCCAAAGGCGCCCTGTCCTCCATGGACCCGGTGGCCCCCATGCCAGCAGGAAGGTCGTGTTTCCGCGTAGATTTGAAAGGAGTAGCGCGCTGCACTCTGAGGCATGACACCTGGGGTCGGGATCTCCCCTTGGGAGCTGGCACGCCCGCTGCCCAGACTGCCATGACGCCGGCCAATTTGCCGGCACAAATGGCCTGGTTCGTTCTGGTTTTAGGACTAATGAATCATATTTAGGTCTCCGTGAAATAGTGTGACAAGTCATTTGGCTTTGTTTTAGTGCAATCATGTTGCCCCTTAACGTGAGTTCTGGGCCGGTAGAAAATGGCTCACATTCTTTTTAAGGTTATACCGCCCTGCCACACTTAGTGCACCTAATAATGTACAGTGCACACGGCGGACTATATTGCGAACATTGGACATCCGGAGGTGGCGGCCTCCATACCACCTTAAGTGATTTTTACCTTTTGATGATTGTGGAGTAGAATGCATTCACTGCAACTCGGGCCATGTTTAAACGGGTATCATAGTTTCCTTGTTAATGTGGTCAGGATAAGCATTAAATAACTAAAACCAGACAACATTATAACGAAGCAGTATTTTGCTACTCTTGGAATTTTCACCCGTGACATATAATCACTGGCTGTATAAGACAACCTAACAAATCAAGCGTGGAAAAATGCAAAATGAATAGCCGCAGTACTAGGAAATAACAATATAAAAGTGCTTCTACCCACATAATTTCACACAAAGTTAATGATAACACATTGTGAGAAACTATCCTAAGTTCCGTGCTAATTTCTGATCCATGTAAACATATCGCAAGAAGTTAAACATAACGGCCATTTGGTGGCATGAGTAGATCGGTAACCCTCTGGTTTCTCACATGAAATGGATTTTCAAATGGGTTCCGAAAATTTAAGATTTGAGGAAAATTAAGAGGCGTTGGTATGGGTAGGACGTTCACGAAATATTGGATAGATACTTCAAACAATGCCCCGCAATGTCATTGAACTTCTTTTAGGGATAACATTGACGTACTTTAATTCATACCATTTTTACAATCGTTAACGCAAAAGAGTCTTGGTTTAAATCCTTCTGAAACTGGTTCACTATTTAGAACTCAAGTGTCAGTAAAATGCAAGTAGGTGCGCAACGGGTGAATATAACTGATCAGGAATTACTAGCGGCTGGGTATGGACACACAACCCGACGCGCAGCGGCTGGGTATGGCACAGCTCCACATGTAGCGGTTGGGTATGGACACAGCCCCGCAGGTAGCGGCTGAGTATGGACACAGCCCCACAGGTAGCGGCTGGGTTGGGTACAGGGAATCCTACACATGAATTGTGTTCGGTCGTTCATTGAGTCAATTTCTCATTCATATGACAAATCAAACATTGCGCAAGACTTTATTAGGCCTACAATATTATTTGCGCTCGGTGTAGTGTGTTTCACTGACTCCTAGTGCCATCACTGACTCCTGATACTGTCACTGACTCCTAATGCCGTCACTGGCCTTTTGCGCCGTCACTGACCCCTAGTGCCATCAAAGCCTCTGGTGCCACTACTGGTCCCTAGCCCATTTCCGATCCTGGTGCCGTCATCCACCCTTGGTGCCGCCACCAACCTCTCATGCTGTCACTGATCCTTGGTGCCATCACAGACCACTGGTACCATTACTGACCCCTGATAACATCTTTGATCCCTGATGCTGTCACTGGACCCTGGTGCCATCACTGAACCCTGGTGACATCACTGACCCCTGGTGCCATCACTAGGCCCCTGTTGCCGTGCGTGTGCAGGACCCAGCGCTGCGGGTGGCCAAGTCGGTGCTGCACCAGATCCCGACGCGTCGGTACGGCGGCGGGGACGGCGTCGGGGGTGGGTGCCAGGCGGCGCGGCTGGGCCGATCCGGCTGCTGCTCCGGCTCCTCCCCCGAGCCTTCCGACGGCCACAAGCCGCGACTAGAGGAGCCCGAGGGCTGCACCATCTGCCTGGACGAGTATCGACCGGGCCAAGAGCTGCGCGTGCTGCCTTGTCGGCACTGAGTTCCACCGCGGCTGCGTCGACCCCTGGCTGGTCAGCCGGCGCACCTGTCCACTCTGCACGTACAACATTGTCGGTGGGTTTCCACGCGTCCTCTCTCGATGTACAGCATTGTATGTGTATAGCGTATGACATCTTATAATATCGCATATTGTGTTTCACATCGCATTGTATCACGTGCGGCATCATGCATATGACATCGCATAAGGTCGCGTGACTGAACTCATGACATCACGAGGGGTCAAAGCACATGGCTGACCGCTCTGTGCATTCAACCCTGTAGGCGGCAGAGAGTCCCTCTTCTTTGCATGGCTAGCGTTGGTATATTGACGGTAACGGTAATTGTCCGCTGTCTACCTGTCCATCCTCCATGGCTCCGCACACACCTTGGGTGCCTGTGGAAGGGAAGATCGGGGGTGGGGACTTGGGAACATGTCAGGGATTGTGTCAGCTGGCCATGACATGGCGTGGTGGCGGCCCGGCCATGAGTACCAGTGACTACGACCGGGGGGACTGGGGGCATGTCAGGGATTGTGTTCGCTGGCCATGACGTGGCGTGGTGGCGGCCCGGCCGGGTAGTACCAGTGACTACGACCGGGAGGACTGGGGGCATGTCAGGGATTGTGTCCGCTGGCCATGACATCGCTGGTGGCGGCCCGGCAATGAGTACCAGTGACTACGACCGGGGGGACTGGGGACATGTCAGGGATTGTGTCCGCTGGCCATGACATGACGTGGTGGCGGCTCGGCCAGAAATACCAGTGTCTACCATGAGCTGAATAGCTTTGTGATTACGCCGCAAGCTGTGAGACAAGCAGGCACTTGAGGCAGTTTGTCGTGAGGATGCACTCTTCTACGGGGAAGCCAGCTTCTAGAGAGGTCGGATCCGACCGCCCGGCCGTCGCTCGTCTTGAAGTGCCCAGTTCGTGCTGGAGGCCCGCGGGGCGCTGTCTGCTCCAGTCGGGGGAGGGCTCCGCACTCGAGACACTCCCGATTAGCCTTTAACGCTCTCGGAACTTTTGAAAGGTCGCCACCTCAAAGCGTCTCGGACAAACCGAGCCACTTTGTCGCGGCGGCATGGCGGGCCCACGCGCCGCGGCCGGTCCCGGCGCGAGCCGAGCTGCGGTCCCCGATCCGGGGTCTCACCAGGTGGGACCTCCCAGCGCTCGTGCAGGAGTCGGCGCCCCGACAGACAGCGGGACGTTGGCTCCGACGGCACCGTCGATCCCCGGCGACAAGCTCCGAGTGCGAACGGTTCTCTCTCCTCTAGAGTTCAGTCGCTTCCGAGAATGTCCCTTGAACGCCCAACGTTGGAATGAAGTCAAGTTTCTGGACTCCGAGAACAGACTTACTTGAACTTCATTAGCCGGTCGTAATCAGTTGGCCAAGGACGAAGAGTTCATAGATGTGACCTGCATGATGAGTTACCTTAAACCAAAGGTGGAGAATACTGATAGTTGGTGTGGAAATGCCTTTGAAGCAAACGTTTTCCGTGACAAATCAGAATTGTGGTTGTTATCGAACAACTAGCTAATGTGCTGCCACACCTGATATGCCGTACTTTTCACCTATGCTCAAAAAGTATGCACCTTTCGCTATGTCCACAGAATTATATAGTTGGGTGGCTTTGGAAATACAATATATCACTTACAATTGCCTGCCGCGGAGAGTAAGGCATGTGAACGAATCCAGGAGGCGGATAGTGATTAACATCTATTTTAGATTCCTCAGTGATGGTCCAAGGTTCTAAGTACTACCGCCACAAGATATGGTCATGCGTAGCTTGTCGCTGCGTAGGGTGGGACCGAAATGACCTCCCAAGACCGTACGCTTTCTTGCAAGCACGGGAGCGTTGTTGCTGGACTGTGCCGCTACAGTCCAAGTTCAAGTAGTCTCTTGTTCGCTTCTTAACCATGCTTCGCCCGCTGTGCGATTCGAACTGCCCTGTTCTCGTGCACCTTCCCCGCTCTCTTCAGCGTGCGTTGACAGACCGGTGTCAGCTGCACCTCCGTCCAGCTGATCCTCGCTTCCGCCGACAGACCGGTGCCGAGCGTCTGACTTGTGCCCGCCGCCGCCGCCGGCCGACCGTCGCAGCCCGTCGGTGACGACGGCCCGCGTGCCGCGGCCGGCCGCGCCGCTGTACCGGCCGCCGGCCGTCTGTCGCACGCCGGAGCCGGCGCCGGCGCGCGCGCCGTACCGCAGTACCACGCGCTGTACCGCGACCAGTGCCTGCCGGGCGCGGCGGCCGGCCCTCGTGCGCGTGCCGGCCTCACCTGCGCTGCGCGGCCGGCCCTACAGCATGTACGAGCCGGCGGAGAGCGAGCGCGGGGGCCGGCCACGCTGCCTGTACCGGCCCGGCGGCTGGACCACCCTGCGGCCGGAGGAGCGGCCCGCCGGCCGGCCGCTCTCCTACCATCGGGACGAGCGCGCCGGCCTGCCGCCGCCCGGCCGCTCCTACTTCGTACCAGCCGGACGGAAGACCGTACCTGCCGGACGCTGGCCGTCAGCCCAGCTACGTCATCCTGCGCACGGTTGTACCCTGAGTACGGCGCCGGCCCCCGCCTGGAAACGTGCACGGTCATTCCGTGCCAGCGGAGGGCGCAGGCGCCGCCCGAACAGGTGAGCGAGCGCGGCGGTGATTGCCGGTCCGGAAATATTACGCCTCGGGGAGCCGGTGGCGTCTCGTTGGCCACCGCTAGAGACGACTTCAGGGACGGTTGCAGGCAACGAGGCCGGAACCAGCAGCATTCCCCACCGGTGGGCGGGTGGCGCACTGTGCTCTGCGCATGTGCTGATATGGTTAGCGCACAAGCATGAGACGGAATAATGACACGGAAGCCTATGCTATCCAGAAAAAGTGCGTAAACGACACCGAATGCAATGGCGTTTCTTACAATACCTCTCTGGATGCCACTGGTCGTTGCAACTGCCAACTATTTGGACGTCTCTGGTTACCCAGTGACGTCACTAAGTAGCTACCACATTCAGACATTGCCGATAGTGAAATAGCACGCCATCGTGCTGTGCCCAGCGAGCCGTGAATCAGGCTTGCATAACGCTAGAAAGCTGCCGACCAAGGCGTCCTTTCCAGTCGGAACAGCCCACCTTCGACCGCCAGCCATATGGCGCTGTGGATAAATGGGACCGTGTTTTTCCACCGGCACCTCACGGCGCCCACGCGCCACGCACGTTAGTGTTTGAGCTTGTGCTGAGAATCCGGGTACGCCGCTTCCAAAACGCGGATTCCGGGAGTCCTGAACCATGACGTCAGCGCCGGCAAGCAGGTCAGATATAGCAAGAGACGTCTGTCTGTCTGTGCTGACGAGTGCTGTCTACAACCTTCTCGATCATTCCTTTTGAACGCCTACAACTCTGTACAATTACCCGCCCCTTATATTGACCCATATCCACGTCGCCCTATTGTTAATCCAGGACGAGGGGTTTGGTGTAAGCATGGGGTTATCACAGCGCCTACATTTGCGATTAATTTTGTATGTAGTTATATCGTTTGCAACCGGTCCGGTTCCGTGTAGTTGGCATCACTTGAGGGTCTTCACAACAAATGATAAAACAACCATTAAAATATCTGAATAGCTCCAACTTAAAGCTTTTTTTTAAAGTGACTGAACCGGATCTACATTTTAAGCCCATTACACACGTTCTGAAACACTGGGGGAAGGGAGGGTGAGGGTAAACTCGAGCCCTTCAAATACACAGAAAGTCAGGCCCTCGGTTTATAACCTGGGGTCGCTGACCGTAGTTTGTGGTGCTCGTAAACGGACATGTCGATACCTAATAGGCCATCCGATGAGCCAAATACTGGCTGCATAAGGTCGCAGCAGCGCCAGTTTCCACATTTCACCGCCAGTAGGGCACGGCCCGTGTGAGCAGTAACGAGGAAGACGTGCCGACATGCCTGCAGGGCCATTGTGACCCTGCTCGCACAGTCCCATTTGGCAGTGCAAGTGTGTCCATCCACACATGTGTCCACCGCAATGGGCGAGAACCAGTTCAGGGAGTGAACCACACTTCGTTGTTTCTTTCCATGTACCAAACGGGGCATAATGCTGATTGAAAAAGGTGGAGCAACCGTCCCTTCTTGTCCAGCTTTCCGGAGCTCACGCCTTTAAGTGGCGAATATACGCGAGTCGTTGTCGTGTGGTGTCATTGATAATCAGTAAGATACTGGTGAATGTGAGTGACTTGAAACTGGACGTCCTTATTTGCTCATGTTTCTTGCAATGTAAGGGGTGGGCGTCGTTAGAAAGCGCAGGTTCGAAAATACCGGCAGAACTACCGGTTTATCAGGGAGGTAGACATAGACTTCACCTTTGGGGAAAATAATAACTTTCTGTCAGCTTTGCAGATTTTAACAGCTACGACCGTGGGCTTGGCATGATTTGGAACGCATCAGAAGCCTTCCGCGTAGCCCGCTCCCCCGCTTCTGACCCGTTGTGGAGGTTCTGGACGCGGGAGTGTCTCGAAATGTGCGCAGGTCGAGCCATCGACCTCGCTACGTGACACACTCACAAAGAGACGTAGAGCGCGGCCCAATCGATCCTGCTTCAACTTCTAAGCAACGAATGCTTTAATATGCATGCCTACATGAATGTTCACTTCATTATATGCCCAGTAATGTTTTCGGATAACCCTGGATTGCATGCCCCTTGGGTACCAGATTCCCCAGATGACAGAAAAGCGGCATTCTGAACAAGCTGCATTGTTATTACAGCCACATCTTGAAAAAACGAACTTTGACCCCTGCTTTTGACAATCTGTGATTTGTGACCTACATTACATGGACCAGCACGACCTTGCCACTTGTGGCTTAGGGCCTGCACAATTTCTGAGAAATGTGACCTCCGGCATCTGCAGCCTCTGACGGTGACTGCTGACCTGTATAGTCTCTAGTCAAACTGTGCAACCCCGTCTGATCTCTGGACTTCCTCACCGATTTCGCTCCTGTCACGCGGCCTGACCCGTATGAGCGCTGACCTGTGCAGCCCCTAACGTCTGGCTCCTGACCTGAGTGACCTCTGACCATGCGAAGCCCGCGTGACCTGACCGCGGCCCGACCCGGCAGGACGTGTGGCGGCCGGCGCTGGTGCACTACGGCCGGGAGCCGCGGCCGCCCTCCTGGCAGGCGTCGGACACGGACTCGGACGACCTGGAGGTGCGCTCCATCACGGGGTCACGACCCGAGTACGGCGCCGCCGGCTACAGCAGCGCCAGCGGCGACGACGAGCCCGACCAGAAGTGGACCGTGGTGTGAGACGAGGACGAGCCCGAGCGGACCGTGGTGTGAGACGAGGACGAGCCCGAGCGGACAGTGGTGTGAGACGAGGACGAGCCCGAGCGGACAGTGGTGTGAGACGAGGACGAGCCCAACTGGAAGTGGACCGTGATGTCAGACTAGGACGAGCCTGACTGCAAGAGAGCCGTAGTGTGAAACGAGGACGACGAGATGGGCCAGAAGAAGACGGAAGGATGGGATGAGATTGACGGCATCGGCTTGAAGAGGACAGTCGCGTGAGAGGAAGACGGCATCGGCTGCAAGAGAAACTTGGCGTGGGACGACACATGGGCTCGGCGCGGGAACTGAGTGCACCGCTGTGATACAGATAAACTATATCAAAATGGGGTATGGACGGTGCGGTAGGGCAGGACCGGGCGTGGTGACCGTGCGTCGGCCTGCCCAGCATCGTCTGACGCGCGCGTGTGGACGGGTCTCGGCTCACGAGACGGCATCTCGGCTCAGGTCACGGAATCTCGGCACAGACGCACCTCGCACGGACGCCCAACACCCGTGCTACACCGGGGCGTCACAGCGAGCGCCGAGCAGTGCGGTCTCATCGCCAGAGGACCCGTCCGCCGCCCAGACCTGTTCCGGGAGCCGCCCGTCCGCCCGCTGGCTCAACACCGCCGGGCCGCTGAAGGAAACGTCACGCGCGGCGATAGATCGGCCCGGAGGGACGAGGCGCCTCTGGAGCGCCGCCGCCGCTGCCACGCACCAGGTCAAGGTCGCGTGCTTCCCGGGGCCGCCGCGGCGCAGTGGCCGGCGGTGCGGAATGCCTGGGCCGGCCGTGCGGCGTCAGGGACGGGCCGCGTCGGTCGCCGCGGTCACAGTCTTTCAGTCTGAGGTGCCTCAACAGCGGAGGGGCGACGGCCCGCCGCCCGCACCCGCCGCGGGTAGTACGCGTGGGGCCGGTTTTGCCGCGCGCACACGGGGTCCACTATGGACAATCCACGTGCGGCTGTCCGTAGCGAAGGCACTCAAAGCATAATGTAGCTGACGCGGTTATGCGGGCTGTGTACTGTAGTGTGGTGCTATGGGGTCGGGGACAGATATTGCCAATGGAAGGCGCTGATGGGAAAATGCATGGCGTAGAAATTCGCGCACGGCACGGCCTACGCAACGGGGACGCAACGTAGTATGTAGCATTCGCACAGCTCTAGACTTCGGTTCATGGAGCAAAATATTCTTCCAGGAAAACGGCTACAGAGAACTGCTCGCGAGATTCAACTCAACGCATCTTCGAATGTCAAGATGGTTGCTTGTTGATGTAAACGTTGTGGTTATGTTTGGATAGCTTTCCCGGACCGCACAGATCTCCGCAGTAAACAATGATCTGATTAAATTACATCCCACGTGGCCCGCTAACAATTAACAAGTCACTCGTGTTTTCTTGCAATTAACATATATTAAACATCTCCACCATCCCAGAACAGCCAATGATTTCAAATTGCCGAGCTTAAAACAGAGCCGGACGGAGCTCGGGGCTCTGCCACTGACTCAGCGGTGGCGTGACAATGCCCCAGACCCGTCTGAGTCAGCGACGAGTCAATGCCCCAATGAGTCAGCGACGCAAACCATTAGTGGCGGATAAGAACGAGCCGGTGGAGCGGAGCCCCCTTTCGAAAGGTGATAGTTAAGCCATTGATCCTCCGAGCAGCGTTGGCACTCGCGCGGACTCAGTCCGCCCCGTTTCCGTCAGAGGCCATCACATAAGAGCGTCCCTGATAGCTTCATCGCCGGGGGAGAAAATGGGCAATGCTTTCGCTATGACGCAGTGGCTGGCAATAGCTTGAACAGGTCACAAATGACCCTCCGCCATGCTAATTATAAGACGCGATATTTGCAATGACATTTGTTTTCGCCAAACGCTTTAAATACGCGGACCACGCGACTTTGTATGCGGGCGCTTTCCCCTGCGAACCCTGGGCTTACGCGGCCACAGACCTCGCCGTTTCCTGATCTGGAAACGGCGCTGGTTTGAACCAGCCACGACTCCTACCACTCATTCGGTGAATAAACGTACAGTTAGACATCTTTCGGACACTGCCGGCATCTCTCGCACCTTCCTTCATCGCGCAAACAGCTCTGGTACCAGGGCACATCCAACCCTTCGACTTAAGCTGAAAGCCGTACGAGCCTTGCGTGACACAAGCCGCATGGCTAGCTGCGAACATCCCCCCGACGCGCCGCTAAGCTCGCGAGGACGTTGGCGCTTCCCCAGCCCGTCCGTTTCCGATCCTTCCCTTCCCCCTTCCGTCGACGGCCAGCCGGCCGGCTGGGGGTGTTCGCGAGCGGGCATTCCAGGTTGGTGCGGGCACGGGAACGGTGGGGCGTCGTCCTGCCACCGCTGGCACCGTCACCAGCTCCCAAGCCTCGGCGAGCGCGGCCGCGTGTCCGGCAGAGGGTCCTTCCCTTACCTCGGCAGGCGCAGCCGCGTGCCCGGTAGTGGGTCTTTCTCTCACCTCGGTGGACACGGCCGCTGGCATCGTCACCAGCTCCCTCGCCCCGGCAGGTGCATTCATGTGGCGGCAATGAGTCCCTCCCAGCCGCGTCAGGTACGAACGCGTACCGGTGATGGGTCCCTACCGAGTCACAGCAGGTACGGGTGCGTAAAAGCAGTGGGTCCTTCCATTGCCACGGCAGGTACGGGCACGTGCCGGTGATGGGTCCCTCCCTTGCCACGGCAGGTACGGGCGCGTGCCGGTGGTGGGTCCGTCACCAGCCGGTGGCCGCCATCGATCGCCGCTGACGAATCAGAGCCCCGCTGTCTCCGGTCGGTCGGCCAGTCGCCCGACGCACGCGCTCCCGCCCGCCAGCTCAGCCGCCCACCCACGCCCCCAACCCCAGATCAAAGATCGCCGCCGTCGCAGTATCGTCCCATATGAGATATCTCTCCACCAACGGAATATTTTTGAACGAGAGTTGGGGTTTCGGCGGCTACAATTTGACAGTCCCGACCCTGCGAAGCAGCCAGCTTTAATATGTGCTCGTAATTTGTTAAGTGACTGTGTGACGTTGATACCTTCGCGTATGGCGGATAATGGACTACAGATGACTGAAAGGGACACAGATCTATTAACCAGGCGGAACGGTGTGCAGCTAACGGACATACAAAAGCATCTAATCTGAGGAGGCTTTTACTATTTTGAGTGAGCTGCGACGGAATAATGGCTACATTGTGTGCACGATCGGACACGCCACTCAGTGTGCTGCAGAACCCAAGAGGCGAATGTATTCGTTTCATTTCCTGTAAGACGTGCATCTGTTTTGATTCCCCGAGCCCAGCAATCCCACCGCACCGTGGCAGCAGCCAGCTAACAATAGCTGCACGCGATGCTTGCGATGTTACGGCCACGGGTGAAACTTATCAGCTTTCGAAGCAGAAGAGTTATCTCAGGTGTCGCGCCTCTCTGGAAGCAAAGTCATATCTGCTGTTTGTTGTAAAGATGCCCAATGGCAATTAACACAGAATACGAGTACTAACAAATATATGCACAGTGGTGTCGCTTACAATTCGGTCGACGACTACGATGTTAGCCCGATGATTACATGACAGAGCGCGTCCGCTGACTGAGCTGCAGTGGCCTCTGCCACCCGGCAATTCTATGCGCTTGGTAACGTCTGCTACGCCACCACCCACGTCTTGCCAGCAGTGCAGACGCAGTACAAAACAGCTCCGTTATCCGTACAGTCCGGCTAAAGCAGATCCCGGCCGTGCCGCCAGCGCCGCACCGCCAGACACGGCCAGGGGTGCCCGATTGTCGAGAGCGTCCGAGCAACGCTGGCTCGGAGCCACGTCTAACCTCTCCCTCTGTCCCCCCTCCCCCCCCCCCCACCACCTACCAGCTTCACTCGCTAGATGTATGCCACGCTTCCAGCGAGAGCGCCAAGCCCTCAAGCCGGTACATCCGTGACTCGATCTGGCGATGTGAAACGTGTATTGCGCAACAAATACAGCTCAGAACATCGTCCGTCTCGGCTGAATGAGCAGCGCCGCCAGCACGGCGGAGGCCGGCCACCTCAGGCCCAGCTCCCGGGTGTCACCGGCCGCCGGCCCTGACCGTGGTCCGGTCGGTGGTGGCGCGGCCCGGCGCCGCTGGCGTGCCAGACGTGTATAAATAGCGGCCCGGCCGGGCGGCAGCTCGCCACCGCCACCGTCGGCCCGCTATCGCCGCCATCTGGGGGCCCCAGGTCACGTGTCAGCCGGCGCGGGGTCGACGGCGAGGTCACCGCCTGCGGGCCGCCGGCGGCGGAGCCGCGCGCGCGCGCGCGCGCCGCGGCGTCCGCCCGCCTCCACTGCCCGCCGGCGTCCGGTAACAAAGGCGGCACACGCCGAGTCGGCGCACCACGCCGCCAAAATCGATCACCACCGACCGGCCTTGAAGGTCGGCCGAAACCAATCCACTCCCGGCCGGCGACAATGCAAATCCGGCGGCCCGGATCAACAGCGCCAGGCTCGGTCGCCTCCCCCCCCCCCCCCCCCCCCTCGACACTCCGACAGCAGCTTGGCCTGCCGCCGCCCCCGACACTCCGACAGCAGTTTGGCCAGCCCCCCCCCCTCGCCACTCTCCGACAGCAGCTCAGTTAGCCTCCCTCCACCCAGCCCTCTCCGATGACAGCAGTCTTGGTCAGACACCTCCCGGCACTCCCACGACAGCAGCCCCCCTAGTGAGACCCTCTACGGCACTCTCCGACGACAGCAGCCGCGCCGCCCGCCCACCGCGGCGCGACTCACATCCGCAGCAGCTTGTCCTTGCCGCCGCTGACCACGCGCTGGCCGTCGGGGGACCAGTCGACGGCGAACACCTCGTCCGCGTGGCCGGGCAGGTCCAGCTGCAGCTTGCGGCTCCTCATCGACCACACTGGGGACAGACGCGGCCAGGCGTGAGCCGCCGGCCGGACGGCCACAGCTGGGCCGGCGCCGGCGCTGGTGCCCGGTCGTCCGCGCCGAACGCCGGCCGCCCGCGCGCGCGCGCCACCGACGCGTTGGCGAGCGGGGACGCAACCGGAGGAAGGGGAGGAGGCGGGGGAGCATAGTGAAGACATGCCAGCACGGACGAACGGAGGAGTGGGCGCACACGGCGCGGCAGTGCACTCAGACTTCTCACAAATGGCGAAGAAGCAACGAAACAGGAGGTCCAACACAACGAACGACGCTAGAAAAGGCAGCCGGACGAAAACACAAGAAAAGCTTACAAAAAGTACCAGCCATGCTTTTGTAAGAAGCAACCAGCACAAACAGTAGCAAACAACGGCAATGAAGAGCATTATTTCAACCCCTGCACATCCATCGATCACGAGGCGTCCCGTTATGGGCCGAGCGTGAGGCCGGGCGGCGGAATAGTCGGCTCCTGACCCGGGCGTACACACCACAAAGGTGCCGCCGCCCACCTTTGAGCGTGGAGTCGGCGCTGCCACTGACCAGCAGGCGGGAGTCGGCCGACCAGGCCACCATGTACACGGCCTGCACGTGGCCGCGCAGCGCCGCCACGAACCTGCCGAGCGCGCGTGTCACACAGGCGTCAGACGACGCTGATGGGCGAGCCCGCCGTGGGGCGGGGGCCACATCACGGCATCGGGCTGGGGCAACAGCACGGCATCGGACTGGGGCTGGGACCCAGGGCACCGGCTGGAGCGGGGACCCACGACATTGGGCTGGGGCGGGGGGCCACACCACGGTGCCGGGCTGGGGTGGGGGCCACACCACGGCACCGGGCTGGAGCGGCGCCACACCACGGCACCGGGCTGGGGCTGGGACCCACGGCACCGGGCTGGAGCGGGGGCCCACGGCACTGGGCTGGGGTGGGGGGCCACACCACGGCACCGGGCTGGAGCGGCGCCACACCACGGCACCGGGCTGGGGCGGGGGCCACACCAGGGCACCGGGCTGGAGCGGTGCCACACCACGGCACCGGGCTGGGGTGGGGGCCGACAACGGCACCGGGCTGGAGCCGACAGGCAACACACTCCGCCCACAGCCGTTTACACTGTGTACCTAGCTGGCTCGCTGTTTTACTTCTTTATTTTTACGACTGCGTCCCCACACATTGCACAATTGGCTAAAAAACTAGATAACATATTTTTTTACAAAGTAGTTGGATAGCTCATAGAGCTGACCCGGCATCATTACATTGATCATTTCGAGATTGGCTGTCACGTGCTCGGGTGGGGGATCAAACTGTCCCCCCCCCCTCCCCTCCTGAAGGTTTATCCAGAATGGTGGTCGATCGGCAGGGCGTAGCGGCGCCAAATTTTTCATAGCTGTGGGAAATTGAAAAGCGGATCGTTTGGTGTCAAAAATTTAGATGAACCTTGTAAGGTCACTGACCTACGGCCGGTCAAGGTCAGGCCATGGATTCAGCGAAGTCAATTTCTAGGGAATCGTTAAATCTCATGCTACAGCGGAGTGTTAGACGAAGCCATACATCTCTAAGATACTTTCTTAGGCAACATAACAGTTAAATGAACAACTTAGATAGACCTAGAGTCAGGTACGAAGGTCCGGCCAAGGTAAAAAAACAACCTGTTTTATTACTCTATGGCTTGCTGTACGGGGTAGTTTCTGGTACTCACTTCGAATTTATTGATAACTGTGACTGCATTATACTTCTTCCATGGATCTCTTTACGGTCAGAATAGGGCACTGACCTAAAATGACCCGGTCAAAATTTTGCTTTATTGAACATACTGCCTAGAGTACTCTTTGTCACTTATTCAAATGCAAAACTCAAGCGGTCCTGTATGATTTTGGGCACCATGACCTCCAAAAGGTCAAAGAAGGTACATAACCTTAAATGACCATGTCACCTTTTGCTTAGAACGGGTGTTTAGGTTCCGCGGGTACTTTGGAAACCAACCCGGACTTTGACATTGCTTCAACTTATTTGGCCTGAACGTCCCGACCTAAGAACCTCAAATTTTCACCTAAGTGAGCTCACGTACAGGGCAACACACCCTGTGAATTTAGAGTGTCTAGCTTTCTTAGTGCCTGAGATCTCGGGGGGGGGGGGGCAAATTAAACCACTCACCCACCCGAGCGCAGGGTATCCAACCGGCCACTCTGGCGAGTGTTAACAATGTACCGGTAATGCTAATTTTCTTCGACATCGATCTATTCACCCCTGAGAAAATGGATCAGTGTGGTTTCTGAAGCTAATTCCAGACCTGATAATTTGCCGGAAGCCGAGGGATTACGGCTTCAACAGCTTTCGAAAGTCCTCATAATAGGCATATCTTTGGTGGACCACACACAGACACGCGAACACGGCTATTACAAGAAACGACGTTTTAGATACCGAAGTCCAAAACATATTCCTGGCACGACGTCTATTATCTGATGCCATTTTGATGGCGAGCTCTTTTGACCTCGGGTAATCTCAGGCGACGGGACACACCAAGATCTCTGCCAGTTCAAAAGTACTGCAACCCATGTCCGTAAGGCATGCCTGTAATAACCTCCCGGGATTGGTGTGGGGCAAGACACTTGCGAGCTGACAGTGTACGAACTAGAAGCCATCTGTTAAGCAGGCGCGTCGACCGGCAAGGGAAACGGAAGCAAACAAAACAAGCACCGCCTTACGAACACAACATCAAGTGCGCCACATTTTCCATCAGTTGGACCGCCGCGGCATAGGACGGTCGCGCCGTTTGTCTCCGCCTCGCTGTCGAGCGGCGTGCTCCGCCACAAATGGCCCTGGAGCGATCGGCTGGCCGCTGCACAGTGCCTTGTCAGGGACAGGTCCTGGGAAGTGTACTGGCGTACGCCCGGCGGCCATGGCGCCGGTGCGACCGGGCCACCTTTACAGCTAGGTGCCAACCACTTCCACGAAGTGCAGTTTGTTTTAATTTGCATTTTGATTTGACAAGCTGTGGTTATTCACTTCTGGGATGATATACGCGTTCCCCTCCAATGGTTATATGTGACGGTAGACCTTGTAACCCGAGGTCACCGATGGCCAGAGTGCACGTCAGAACTCCGTCAAAGGACTGGAACTATTCCAGGAGCATATCTTTAGTACATGCGGGTTCAAAAATGTGTGGTTTCTCGTAGTTATCATGTGTTCGTATTTCGACAAGGTCTGCAAAAAGAAGCGTCGATCCTGAGACTGCTTCAAATCGTTGGAACTTCAAGCCATAAGCCATTGCTATAGTCGAGCTCAAATGTTCGGCTCGCAAAGACATTTTCCGTCAATTTGGCCTTGCACTTAATTGACTTCTGAGGGCGAAAATACACCCCCCAAGGAATAGGTGGAAAATCGCAGATTTGCCCACGTAAGAACTTACGAACTCGATTCACATATGACGTCCCTTGCACCCGTACTCATTAGCAAAATATAAAGTGGAGGGGGGGGGGGGACACACTCCCAACAATTTGAACATTCCCTCATAACGAACAACCCGCATGGAAAGCGAGCCTTGTCACGTAATTACCACCCGTTCGTGCATATTTTACATTCACGTTTTAGTGTATCCCACGCACACCAATCACAGATAACACACTATACATACCACACAGTTTGGCTGTAGAACGCCTCTCTCCTTTCGACACATCGCGGTACGTCAACCCGGTCGTCAGTGAATGACACCTGTATCAGGTGCGAGATATACACCCGGCGGCTGTGGTGGGTCACGTCCCTCCGTCAGTCAGACAGACAGGTCCAGAGACACACCCGGCGGCTGTGGTGGGTCACGTCCCTCCGTCAGTCAGTCAGACAGGTCCAGAGACACACCCGGCGGCTGTGGTGGGTCACGTCCCTCCGTCAGTCAGTCAGACAGGTCCGCGGCTGTGGTGGGTCACGTCCCTCCGTCAGTCAGACAGGCCCAAAGATACGCCCGGCGGCTGTGGTGGGTCACATCTCTCCGTCAGTCAGACAGGTCCAGAGACACACCCGGCGGCTGTGGTGGGTTACATCCCTCCGTCAGTCAGACAGGACAGGTCCAGAGACACACCCGGCGGCTGTGGTGGGTTACATCCCTCCGTCAGTCAGACAGGACAGGTCCAGAGACACACCCGGCGGCTGTGGTGGGTCACGTCCCTCCGTCAGTCAGACAGGACAGGTCCAGAGACACACCCGGCGGCTGTGGTGGGTCACGTCCCTCCGTCAGTCAGACAGGACAGGTCCAGAGACACACCCGGCGGCTGTGGTGGGTCACGTCCCTCCGTCAGTCAGACAGGACAGGTCCAGAGACACACCCGGCGGCTGTGGTGGGTCACATCCCTCCGTCAGTCAGACAGGTCCAGAGACACACCCGACGGCTGTGGTGCGTCACATCCCTCCGTCAGTCAGACAGGACAGGTCCAGAGACACACCCGACGGCTGTGGTGGGTCACGTCTCTCCGTCAGTCAGACAGGTCCAGAGACACACCCGACGGCTGTGGTGGGTCACGTCCCTCCGTCAGTCACACAGGACAGGTCCAGAGACACACCCGACGGCTGTGGTGGGTCACGTCCCTCCGTCAGTCAGACAGGACAGGTTCAGAGACACGCCCGGCGGCTGTGGTGGGTCACATCCCTCCGTCAGTCAGACAGGACAGGTCCAGAGACACGCCCGGCGGCTGTGGTGGGTCACATCCCTTCGCCAGTCAGGCAAGCGCGGGCAATGCCACCGCCGCGGGGAGTCGGACACTATGCAATACGGACCGTAACCCACGGCGACCGGCTATTCCCAACACCAGCCGTGCCACAGTCTGACCTAGATGAATGGCACAACTAGCAGACGGGAGCCGCTGCTTCATACGAGGCCGGACGCCCGCCGCCGATGTTTGTGTTCTCAGGTGCTCGGCCAATTAATGAGTGATCACGGCGGCGGCTCGGCAGGCGGCGGCGGGGCCCAGATCTGCACCTCGCGCCGCCGCCGCGCCAACGGTAACACCGGGCGCTGTCAGAGCCCGCCGCCCCGACGCGGCGGTATGCGCCGCCGCCAGCACCGAGCCACCCGCCGACCATTAGCCGTCCATAGCTGCCGAGTCAGCTCGTCAGGCGCGCGAGAGCTCGTGAGCCCCTGTCAGAGACAGCAGCGGAACTGATAACCTGTCATCTGCCATGATATTTCGCGGAGATTTTGTCTCGCGGCAGCGGCCAGCCGGGCACCAGCAGCTTGCCTTGAGGCGTCGGCCAAAACTTCGTCAGGAGGGCTCTGAATGAATGAGGATGTCTTGGTGATCGGGACGTATTGATGTCTGCAATCAATATCAATCAATCCCTACTCAACTGAGAACAGTGTTATCAGCGTGTATGTGTGTGTGTGAGGGGGGGGGGGGGGGCTCTTTGATCTTGTATGGGCGTGCGTTCAATAGTAGGCAGTGGTGCATACCTATCGATATTCGACAGCTGACGGCAGGCAATGGAAGGCGTCAGACAGGCGACATTTGCGTTGACACATGGCGGAGTTTGTGGCCAACCGGCTGGGTCCCGTCAGGTCAGGTCAGCGGGGTCGACTGGCGACTTGTAACCGGCCGGGTCAGCGCAACGGGGCCGACCGGCGACTTGTGACCGATCGGGCCAAGTCAGTGAGGGCGACTGGCGACTTGTGACCGGCCAGGTCAGGTCAGCGGGGCCGACCGGCGACTTGTGACCGCCGAGCGGGGTCAGCGGGGCCGACTGGCGACTTATGACCGGCCGGGTCAGGTCAGCGGGACCGACCGGCGACTTGTGACCGGCCGGGTCAGGTCAGCGGGGCCGACTGGCGGCTTGTGACCGGCCAGGTCAGGTTAGCGGAACCGACTGGCGACTTGTGACCGGCCAGGTCAGGTCAGTGAGGCCAACTGGCGACTTGTGACAGGCCGGGCGGGGTCAGCGAGGCCAACTGGCGACTTGTGACCGGCCGGGTCAGGTCAGCGCAGCCGGGGCGGGCCGCCGGTGGCGGCGCCGGCTCTTCTGCCCCCTGTCCTGCCACTTGGCGTACAGCCGGTCACCACCACACGGTCCTGGCCTCTGTACTCACGATCCAGGCCCGTCGGATGGTAACTCCAGACCGGAGACTTGTGACCCGGCACTCGTCAAACCACCTCCGCGCCGCAATGGTGAAGAATGCCACTTTTTCGGCCCAGGAAAGAGGGCGGATGTCCGTACACATCCATCGCACCAGCGGCGGAGTTCACAACGGCTCAGCTCCCGCACTTAAGCAGTGCATGCATGGGGAGGTAATACCGACACCTGGCTCACTAGACGGCCCTCAACGACTGTGCCGGACAACTACGCACGCCTACCACAGAGACGCCAGGCGCCGTTGATTCGGCGCCAACCTTGTCATGGGTGGGATGGGGTTAGGGTGGGGAGCAACCCTCCCCTCTAGACACTGAGGGATGAAGGATTGCTACCCCTTCCAACGCACGTGGGTGGCCTTATCTTGACGGCAGGCTACTGCTGCCTGACAAGAGGCTGCCTTCCTCCGGTCCGGTGCTCCAAGCACACATCTTGGGACTCCATACAAACTGTATCTTATGCCAGAGCGGCACAAGACACACCGGGCAGGCAAAGCTTCAACAAGGCAGCAAACCTGGGTCAGAAGACGCCCTGTTGGTCGCACCATTGCCAGACAGCCCGGCCACAGTATGCCGTCAAGCACTCACTTTCCCGTCTTGCCCTCCCAGAGGCGTATCGATTTGTCGAACGAGGCGGAAGCGATGAGCCGGGCATCCGGCGAGAAGCGGACGTCGTTGATCAGCTGTTGGTGGCCGGTCATCCGCGCTGCCGACAGACGGCGTGACCTCACCACGCGGCGCGGGACGGGCCGCGGCGGGCAGCACGACGCCACAAGCCGTGGGACACTCGGCGCCACCGTGCGTACCCGGACTCAAACACATTTACCACGCGCGCTGCGTGATGCACAGGACATGTGTAAGGAATGTCAGATTGTCCCTGACTGCACTGACTTAATTTCTTACTCTTCAAGGTGCGAAAGAAACCGTACCAGTCGCGAACATGTCTGCTGTTTCATTACATACGAACTGTGTGACGCTGCCTCACTAACGTGTAGCGTCCACGCGTACGTTGTGTTCCGCACGACCGCACGCTTCGACTATCCTGATACGGCCATGTGCACCATAACTCATCTCCTGGTTATGATTGATGATGGATCCACTCACCCAGAGGCTTAGTGCCCTTCACTGGATTCCAGAGGAACATGGTGAAGTCGTCACTGCCCGATACCAGTCTCTCCTCGCCACCGCTAGATGCCAGTAACGTCGCGTACCGCTTCTTGGCGGCTGCCAACTTCTCATCATCTGCAAAACATGCATTCATTCAACGAGCGTATACTCGCTGATCCTCTCCCATAGCAGAAAGACGTTTGCATACGCGATGAACGTCGATACGGCGACGGCAAGCAGTCAGCTGGTGCGGAAGCACGCGTAAGTAGTACCTGTGCGTTTGTCCGCTAGATGTCCGACGTCGCCGCTGGCCGGGTCATACGCTCCCGTCCGCATGACGTAGTCTGTGCTCAGCGCCAGCGTGTTGACCCAGTGACCGTGGCCTTGCAGTGCCCGGCACATTGCTCCCTGCAGCATGGAGCACATACTAGCCATCACGAGCCGCTATACGATATGATGGGTATTTCAATCAGATGCAATCCTTGAAACAAATATGACTGTTTGGATTATGTTGGGCACTCCTACAGCAGTCACCTTGCGTATCTTGAGTGAAGCCTTTTGACGCTGCAAGCAAAGTTACACGTTGTGGGAAGTTCTTAAACGAACCAGTGTACCAAAACATGTGTTTGTACACTATGACATGTGTTTTTTGATCGCATGTTCCTACAAAAGCCTCCGCTTCATCTCAGTTATTAGTGCGCTTTCACTGCTACACAGAACCAGCGCCGCTCAGCCACGGAGACTCACGTCGGTGGCGGCCCACACTCGTACACTGCGGTCTTGGGAGCCGCTGTAGAGGAGGTCGGCGCCGCCCCAGCGCAGGCACGTCACCGACTGCCGGTGCCCCGTCAGTACGCGCAGGCACCGCTGCAGCTGGGCGTCCCACACGCGGACGTCACCGTCCTTCGAGCTGGACGCCAGCAGTCGAGACTGACCCGACTCGGAGCTGAAACACGGCCAGATACGTCAGACGTGTGACCGGGTTCGGTGCTGAAGCACGACCCGATACGTCAGCCGCGTGACCGGGCTCGGTGCTGAAGCACGGCCCGATACGTCATCCGTGTGACCGGGCTCGGTGCTGAAACACGGTCTGACACATTGCCGTCTGCAGCCCGATACGATGCGACAGTTGACAAATCGCGGCCCAGCGACACAATAGGCGTTCACAGAGGATACTGTAAAAGACGGACATTCTACGGTTTCAGTTCAATCGACACACAGGCAAGGGACCGTCAGGTGAAGACAGACAACAGCACCTGTGCAAGGGCTGCCAGCAGATGTGTGTGATCCACTGTTTGTGTCCGGTCAGCGGTTTGCCCTCCTGCTTGCCGGAGACCGGTTCCCAGAGGCGGACCTCGCCCGACTTGCAGCCGGAAGCGAGCAGGCGGCAGTCGGGCGACCAGGCGATGCAGAGCACCCAGTGACGGTGACCTGCGGCCGGCCACACGACGGTCCGTCAGGCGGCGCCCAGTCACGGTGGCCCGGCAGGGGCACTGCTGAGGCCGGACAAACCACAACCATGCAATAGTGACCGTTGTGACGTCCGGACACGAGGCCAGGAGTAGACACGACGTGGATTGGTCTCACGGTGTGGAATAAACAAGTACGCTATAGCCCGTGAAACGTGCCACGCTACACAAAACGCTCATGGGAACGACTGGTATACAGCCCCACTTTGCTAAACAGGTCGCACGCCAACCCGCGTTCGTTCCGTGCAGGACGCCACTGCTCGCTGCCATCACACAGTCAGACCACTCCTAGCAACAACCGCTCGGTCGCGACCCGGCTTGGGCCGCCACTCACTGACCGGAATGACGTCACTCACGGACCGAGTGGCGTCACACCGGGGGACGACTGACCGGTGCATGTGTGCTGGGGCGTTTCTGTGCTGACGTCCCAGAACCGGACCGTCTTGTCCCCGGAGCCGCTGGCCAGGGAGCGGCCGTCGGGCGAAAAGCTGGCCGAGATGACCGGTTCGGCGTGGCCGGGGATCGAGCTGCCGCACACGGACCAAGATACGCTCAGAGCCGGCGTACCGGCTCGGGGAGGGGGAGGGAGAGGGTGGTTCATCGTGGCCAGACCGGCTCAGCGTGGCCAGGGATCGAGCTGCCGCACACGGACCAAAGATCGCTCAGAGCCGGCGTACCGGCTCGGGGAGGGGCAGGGGGCGGGTGGTTCATCGTGACCAGACCGGCTCGGCGTAGCCGGGGATCGAGCTGCCGCACACGGACCAAAGATCGCTCAGAGCCGGCGTACCGGCTCGGGGAGGGGGAGGGGGGGGGTGGTTCACCGTGGCCAGACCGGCTCAGCGTGGCCAGGGGATCGAGCTGCCGCATACGGACCAGAGGCCGCTCAGAGCCGGCGTACCGGCTCGGGGAGGGGCAGGGGGCGGGTGGTTCATCGTGACCAGACCGGCTCGGCGTGGCCGGGGATCGAGCTGCCGCATACGGACCAGGGGCCGCTCAGAGCCGGCGCACCGGCTCGGGCAGGCATCGTGACCAGACACAGGCGCTCAGAACCGGCACACCGACTCAGCGGCACACGGCGACACAAGGCCGATACACCAGCTCCCAGAGACGCAGTTATACACGGTCGTACGCCACTGAAGCCGGCACGCGTTAACGAGTCCCCAGAGGCAGACAGTCGTCTGGGTCTCAGTGAAGCAGGCTATCGAACAGCTCGAGTTCACTCTTGCTGATGTGACATCAGATGCTAGCAGAACATGCAAGCCAGTACCGGGTGCACATTGGAGCTTGACAGGGAATGACAGGTTTGACGACTTAAGTAAAATACATACATAAAGTACTTCTCACACCATTTTGTGTTGAAGTGGTGATTTAACGATGTAATCAAGATGTATTGGCCGCAGTTAAAAAATAATCGACATCATGTTCACAGACAAGCTGGTGCTACATGTCTTTAAATTGTTTGAAATTTGTTGACTCGCTTATGACATACAATTACTTCAATTTGTTTGCTTCAAAATGCTTCATTAAATTGTTCGCGTCTGCGTCTAACAGCCATCCAGCCACGTATGCTTCACGCCTGAGATATGTCAGCGTGACTACCATGACACGCCAGGGACTGACCTGGTGCACCGTGTCACCGCCCGGACCCGGAACACGGCCTGCGGCTGGTAGATGATGTCCAACACCTTCTCAGAGTCGACAGTCAGCTGTTCCAGCGTCTGTTGCAGGCTGGAGGCGACCTCGACGTCACCGACGTAGAAGGCGTATGGCACCGGCTCCTCTTCCTGCCGATGCCACGTGTGATGTGACGTCACCACATCACGAGGAAGGGATGACACAGGTGCATCAAAATGGATGATGACTTGATGACATTGAAGACGTACCAAGAAATAATGTCCACGCCAAAAACCTGCCCTGGAAGGGGCGGCAACACATGCGATAACATGAATATGACAGAAATGCCCACCTGCTGTTACCTCTGTGCATGCACAACTCTGAACAGGGCATTTTTAATTTATCTTTAGATTGCCTACAAGCATGTTTATCTGACCCCCATCCAAACAAACACACCTGTACTGGTGCCCAGCACATATCAAGGTGATGCAAAATGAGACTGTACAGATTTACATGCAGTCATGACAAAAATAGCCAATTAACAGGTACACAAACCTTTTCAAGAAGTGCATTGCAGACTAACTGCAGCTTATCCTTTGTGATCGTGACTGGTAGGTTGAAAGGAGCACCAGCAATGTCCCCTGTTTCTGAGCGGAACTGTGCCAGAATATGGCGAGTTTCCTCAGCTTCCATTGGCTCCTCCATTGTGTCCGACTTCAATGAGATAACTTGTTATGAGCAAGATGTGGCAGCAACATCGATCGGTAATGAGAAAAAATAATGCCGGTCAGTATCTGCCTGGTGGGGAGTGACTATGCTAACCACCTTTTCCCACTTCTTCTCATTAAGATTGCTTAAATTGCCCATGCAACCTTTCTCCAGTCCTCTTCACTTCAACAAGTTACAAGGACCAATACAAATGTGAATACAAAATGGCATGCTTTAGGGATATGGGATGGCACATAATCTACCTGATGCCTAATGCAATCCGTCGCACAAGCAGTTCAGGCATTTCTGAAATACTTCAAAAAGGAAGATATTTTCAGGCCATCCAAGACCATCTGAAGCCATTCAAGACCATAAGACCATTCTAAGACTGACACATAAGACCATCCTGGCCTATACCCCCCACATTCTGGGGTCTTTACACATGTGCTTAGCAGGGTCTTTGAAGGTCTACCAAAATGGACACAAATCATAATCAGAAACCAAAATTGCCTGGACCTTTTGATTAGAACATTTTCTGAGAACAGTGCTAATGCTAAGCAACACTTGTCGCATGAGCCCTGAACTCCCCAACAGTGAACAATTTCAGGTCATCCACACACTTTCATGGTGACCTAACATTTTAAATGACCACTACTGCTGGCATCAGCCACATCACCATTTGGTTACACGGATTTGTCATGTGTATTTGTTTTGTGTCATGGTAGATTAGAAGTTCAGATTTTTGAAATCTCTGAAAGACATCACAGTTCACCAAGTAGTCAATCCATCCACCAAGACAATCAAGACAACCAAGACAAGATAGACAATCCAGCAAGAAGCCAATTTTCAAGCCATTGATGCAAACTAGGTTGTTTGCTCAAATCCAGCAAGAGGTTACTTTGTCAATAATTGTGATGCCAAATAAAGTTATCCATTCACTTTGGATATTTTGCATTGCTATGGGAGGGGCACTTCCAGTGGAGCAATTCAAGCTTAATGCTGGGATGTGTGGTGGATGGCTCATGGCCAACACCAGTACTTTACACGCAATACTAAACTTTTCACTGGCTTTTTAAGATATTAACCACCCTTAAATAATAATAAACATGAATACTTTAGGACATATTATCATCTTACCTTCAAAATCTGATAATTACAATAACAGCAGCACATGTCAGTGGACAGTCTGCCACACTGATCACAGACACTGATGGGAATGGGTGCGAGGATTGAGGGGAGGGGGAGGTTGCCAGGGGTGATGGTGGTTGAGTTAGGTTAGGTTAGGTTTAGATGGGCTAGGTTAGGTCAGGTCAGGAAAGGCTAGGTTCAGTCAGGTTAGGTAAGGCCAGGTTTGGTTCAGGTTAGGTTTAGGTTAGGTTTAGGTTAGGTTAGGTTAGGCTTAGGCTAGGCTGGGCTAGGTTACATTCTGGTCCATTTTAATAAATTCTTGAAAGACCATTTTCTCAGACAGCTTACATGTCAACTAGAGTGTGTGCCAGTGGGTCAGGAATATCATGTCTCTGGATCACTCAGACATTCACTATCACAATTATTAAAGTTTAAGGTAAGATTGTGGAAATACCTGTATGAGTTTTATATAAAAATATTGGGCACAAATTATTAGACTGTGTGAAGCTCAGATCATTGCTCACCACAAAGCTGTCAAGCATGAATTAATTGATGCAAACACACATTTAGGAGCAACTAACAACTAAGGCTGCATAAGTACCAGCCTAGGATGAAATAATGATTTGGACCATTATCCTTCAACTGGTGTCATTATGAGCACAATTTTTTCCAGTCAATTCTGACTATCATCAGGTGTTACACTCATTAAAAAACTGAGTGTTTTCAGTGTTTGGCCTTAGGCCATATGAATTGCTGGAAATCTAGCCAGGTCCATACCATTGTGAGTCTGATACTCTACCAACTAAACCTACTGGGACGAACTAAGACAGTCCAACTTACACTATACCCATGTTCATAATACCTCATCTCAATGCCCCCGTAAAAC